AGGCGATAGAGAATTTACGTGAGCTTCTTAATTCAAACAGCATGCTTACTTTTCATACATTATAGCAATGGTGCACCTTTTAAGGACGCTTCGCATATGCACCAGCACATCACTCGTAAATATCATAACTACCACAGGTATCAGGCACATCCTTTACATAATAAGTGGAAGCAGTGGAACAAGTAGTATTTTATATGCATTGTTTTTTCAGTTTTATAGATATGTTTAAATATGTCTTATTCTTAAATAATAAGTTTAAATATGTCTTATTCTGGTTTAGTAATGTTTTTTACAAGTTTGTTATACTATCTAAATTGGTTATTCTCCCAGGGTAAGTATTCCTTGTTCAGCACAAATTCTTTAAAGAACGTAAGTTTTAAAACTATGAAGAAAAATACGTTCTTATGCAGTCATTTAAAAGTGAGTTCATATTCCAACCTATCACCTTAGTAGAAGGCCACGTGGCTCTCTAGTAATTCAAGTCAAGGAGAATATAGAAACGGGCAGTCAATGGATCACCCTTGTCCGCGTCACCACCATTAGCAACACCTACGCGCAGTCTCGTTGTGTTCCGAAGTTTCTTTTCCAATGCCTTGATAATGTAAGTTCTTCCGCTGTTCTCCAGAAACTGAAATACTTCACTCGTCAGTCCTCGAGACCTCATTAACAGTAATTGTAATCGTGGTTGTCGTTACAGTTACATCGCCTGTGCTTTGAACATGCTCATTGTTATCATCAGGGAGGTTAGACAAATTGACAAAGCTAGTCGAACAGTTCCTATCACATTATAAGTATCGAGATTAGGGAAGTGAACCAGATGTGTCCATTGAAATATGTAACTATGATATTGATCTGGGTGATATAACAGACACTACGGATGCAGCTGAAAGCAGAAGGAGGAGAGACCGATGATTCAGGCTTTATAAGACGACAACGAGGAATAGGTCTTATTGGAGAACGTTTACAAACAACTGTTAATGATTATCTATGATTAAAATATACTGATGTACAAAAGAAAGTACACACCTGATGTTTTGAGACTTGAAAAAACGTAAATATTTTGCTAGCAATGTTCCAGTTGGGTACGATATCTATGGTGTTATTGCAACACGTAGACAATGTTTGTGACTTGTGAGTCGCAATCAAAACACTTTTCTAAATATTTATAGGAAAACATTTTACCAAAGCATCAGGTGTGTACTTTCTTTTGTACGTCAGTTTATGTTACTCCTACTGGCCGTGACTATTTTAAATTTACAACAGATTGTAAAGGAATACTGCGACTACATGAATCTGGAGATATTGATCGTAGGAATACTTATACTCGGGAACCCCTAGCATTGGCTAATGATAAGGCCACGAATATTGCGCTGAGCCCCACGCCGCACGGACATGCACTGAGCTCATACAACGAGGTGGACATTATTACCCCGGATAACCCTAACTGCTTGTGAGATCTGCTGGGTGAACAGAGGCAATTTTGAACAAACTCACTTGTCTAAGATGAGACCACATATGTGCTTCATTGTGGACAGGACAGAAGTCTTAGAAACTCTCAGCAGTCCAGCTGCCCAACACGGTCACCCATCCAACGACTCTCATCGACCTACGTTGCTTAACTTTAAATGATTTGTGGCCTGGGCTATATACACAAGACCAAACACTACCACAAAAGTGTTACTCCTACTCCAGTCTACAACAGTAGAGCGTGGACAAGGGGGTAAGCGCAGTAGTTGGAACAGTGAAACAAATGCACGTGCGGTACGTGAAGAGCTTTAACTTATAACAACCCTTGTCGTTTTCGGTGTTTCATTTGATGTGCATACGCCCTTGTAATACAAACCAATGATAGCCATGTGAAACTTTGATCGTTTGTTCGTTTGTTAAACAACTTTTATCGTAAGTCGAATGAAATTCTGAGATTTAAATGTTCAATTGGCAAGGTAACATCATGGGGATTCGCTGTCTTAATTTCACTTTATTTGTTTTACTTTTTGGTTTAAAGTGACATTCATCGGTACGTTTTCACTGCAAACAATGAATTAGGCCTTGTAGACAATGATAGCTCGCAAGGAACACTTTCCGCGAAGACAGTGCGGTTGGAACTTGATGCAACAGTGGTAGATAAGGATAATTTGAAGGAAACACCACAAACTGATTTCAAATGAACTTGAAGAAATCTTACCTACCATTAATGATTCCCCATCAAAGCCAGAGCCAAGATCCTTGCAGTAGAGTGTTAGATAATTCTGAGGTCTAGACAAGGCAATGCAAACAACGCTGGACTCACCACCAATAACACAGCTTAGCTGGACGAACGTGACAAGCATATAGCACATGAGAAAACAAAACTTGCAGAAAGATTAAGCTTAAGAGATGAAAGATCATTTCAAGTAACAAAAGAGAAGCACTTCGGTCCCAAACAGTTGATTTCGGGACACTGCTGACAAAGCTCTCAGTCGTGGTACGTTGGCGCTCATTAGTCAACATTAGTCTGCCCCAACATCTACACCGCCTAGTGCTGAGGGAAAGAGAGGATAAACAAGCATTTACAGGCACTAGGAGAGGCTCAAGGAAAGCTTGCGGAGAACGTTGCTTGTGCGCTCCTGGGACATGAGGAAGTACTACATTCTGGCTATTGTGTTTTTTGGCTACGACTGCTACTTGGCTCAGACAAAATATGTACTATGGACAGTGATTGTAGTAACTACCTGTCGTCCTTGGAATGGAAGTTGCATTTTGAGTTCCTGTTTTACATGTGAGAAAACCAACAAACAGTAGATAAAGGATATGTGAGTGTGATACAAATCATGGTTGATTCTACAGGCCCTACAGGCCCTAGACCTTCCACAATGTAATACCACTGATCCTGGTCACACTGAAGGATTGGATTTGTATCCCCTTTGCCAGGGGGACGTTATCTGTGTCGTGGTTTGACTTGACTCCTTCCTTCCTGTATTTGCCTACTCCATCGCAGAATATATAGGTATACAGTGTACTCTGTCAATACCGGCATCACTCGGGACAAAATAAAAATGCCGGTTTTGACAGAGTGCCGGTACATATATGTATTATGATCAGCTATTATATCAGGACACTGCGGCAATTATAGGCTGCCGTTGCTGAAAAATTACAAATATTCATAACCTTATAGCTCTTCTGTCGTATGTGCTCCAAGGGCACACCTCACGCTGCTCGGGCTCAGGAAAAGTGCTGTAACAAAATCCAGCTGAGTAAAACGCTATTGTATTATATGATCTGATCTGGTGACCAGAAGTAACCTACTATACACAAAGAAATAGTTAATCACCCCCTGACATATATCGCGATTGAATGAGCCTCGACCTTAACCCAGAGCATATCTGGAGCATAGTTGGTCGTCGTGTGCAACAAGGGATCCTCCTGTGCAGAACCTGGCCCAATTGGAAGCTGCTTTACACGAGGAATAGCGTAGACTGTCCCTTCAGAGGATCAGGAGGCTGACAGGGGGTATGAGGAGGAGAGTGGTATCTGTCATACAGTCACATGGAGTTTACACTGGGTATTGACTTTGAATCGTGTAAGACACGCAAAATGAAATTTTGAATGTTCAAATTACCAGTAAATTCAACATTAACCATTCCAGGGCCATATTTGTACACACATGGTTTTGCAAGAATATCAGAGTTGTATTTTTTTTAAATGAGCAATTATAATAAAAACAACATGGATTACAGTCATTTTTGTTGTTTTTTATGAGAAGGTGTTAAAAACCTATCATTGCAAAAATACAGTGGACACTTAATTAAGTTCTTTGTGTATATATTTAGAAAGAGCGTTTCCCGATCATATAAAACATACACATATATGATATGGGACAACACGCTTCAAAAAGCATTTGGCATCCGTCAGTGGAGGAAAAGACGGGACACTATTCTGGAAACATGGCAATAGTTTGTGTGCCACTACATATTTCGCCATATAGTTATCTTTGATGCTGATCAAGAGGAAGTATCACATCCCCGAATTGGCCTCTTTTCGCCGCCCTCGACAACATTATGGCAATTTATGTTTTGTACAGATGCATTATACCGAAGAGGAATAGAGTGAGCCTTACATGAAACTTTAAGAAGCTCCTCCTAGCATCCTGAAACAAACTACACCGGTACATTATGCTAGAGCAGATTCCTCGTTAACGCAGATTCTAGTTGATTTGTTAGGACAACAATAAGGCCTGCAACATAAACGTTGGGCAGGCTGCGCCCACGTCGTATATCATATGCATTGCTTTGTGTTTAGAAATAACAGAGTGAATATATTCATTTAATTAAGTATTATAATATGTTCACTGATCCAACTGTATTGGGTATTTTCATTAAATATCGGTACGTAACAGATGTGTAGTGATATGTTGATGTTGATAATAATATCTTCAGTAGCGTGGCTGTAGCAAACACAGTGGGCAGCTGAGGGTCTGTCCATACAATATGGGGGTGAGGTGAGATTGATCTTAGGACTGTTCGTGTTTTGTCCACACGAACATTTTGTATGGCAACCCCACCCCACCCCCCACCCCACCCGCTCCATTCCCACACACTCAACGCTCGCGCGCGCACGCAAAAAACAAACACACACATTACCCACACACTCGCACGCGCGCGCGCACGCACGCACGCACGCACACACACACACAAAATCTCATTGGTTTCCCTTGCCAATAATACTTTTAGTAGTGATCATGAATACTCTAGTATTACCAGCCAGTCAGGCAGTAAGTACAGCTATATATATGTTAAAGTAGCAGTTGTTTAACCTGGGCTGTGACTGTACATATAGGTGGTCTCTCAACATAGTCCTGTGTGACGACACAAGTAGCAGACACCCACGGAAGAGCGGCGAGTATAGGTGTTAACGCTAGCCTGAGACGTGCCTGGGCTTGAGTCGGACCCTTGAGTCAGCTGTCAGTGTGGCCACTCACGTAGCAGTCACGTGACTGATACATGTATATATCTTCTGGGATACTGACACTGAAGGTGTTTATAGCACGGGGAAGGAGAGGGGTGGATTTAGCAAATTGTTTTCCGAGTTCACATCCATCTTTCTGAACTGACCCGTCGGTAAACATTACACCTTTATTCACATCAAGGTATGTACGAGTTTCTCTCTGTGAGTTCTACTTTCGATTCTGATCACTGGATTGTCTGGTTCACCCTCGATTATTTACAGGCCGCCGCCATATAGCTGGGATATTGGTAAATGGTACGTTAACCAATAAACCAACCAACCAACCAACAAACAAACGTTCGACTGAGTACTAGTTTACATGCTTCTATGATGGTATTCAGCGAGGATTACTACGTAAATACTGTACACTGGTGGCATGTATATCTCATAATAGAACGCGCATGCTTGTTGACAATCATAGAGAATTTGATAGAGTGGCTGTATGCTGGTGTAGAAGGACATATTTAGAAATCGATATGTTTACAAAATGTCGGGGGTTGTTTCACAACGGACACGTCAGTTTGTGTTAGACCCGTTCGGGCAAGGAATGTCCATGTTACTGTGGTATTCCCTACATACGTCACGGAAGTATTCCGTTTCCAGTATTGCTGCACTTTGATATGCACATGACCAAATCATATTACACAATAACTCAACGTCAGTGCTTGACGTCGGCGTTAAGTCCTCACTTGCCATGGGCTCCACCCTAGTATTTACCCTTAATTTGTATAAAACCAAAGGGAGAAGATACTCCTAACTTAAAATACCCATGTGATATCATAACGCTTCATTTAGACAGCCGCCATAAGAGTTCTGTCTTTGGTTTTGGTTATTCATGCCAAGTCACTGACGGTTTGGGATCTTCGTCTAATTACTCGGAGGGAAAATCCCCATGATTAGCTTTCTAGGGTTAAACAAGAAATGTAGATTGCTATGCTACTTTTGTACGTAGAAATTAGGGCGTGAAATATCGTCACTGCATGCACGGGGACGCTGGGTTCACCTTCACAGGCACGAACCAATGACTGTAGGTGGTGTCTGACGGTATTAGTTACACCGTGCCCTTCAGCTGCTGGACTCGAAGGTCACTGTTAGATTACATTTTGTAGATAAATAAATTACTTTACTTGCTAAAGTCGAAAGACTCTTAACAAGCATTACGCAAATTCGTATATAAAGCAACAACAACAAAAGTAAAGAAAAGGTAGAAACTATGTGTCACAGCTGCTAATATGTAATTACAACATATGCTAGGGGTCGTGTACTTGCAAATCTATATCTTACACCAGTGTTTAATTTACATAGAATTACCCAGCCATAGATTACATTTTACAAACTGTTGCTGCAACAAGTGACGTGTAAAGCAGACACATTCAATTTAATACCAGTCCTCTCAATTTCTCTATAATTATGTTTTCTTTTGCTCCTCGATTGAATACGTTTATCATCAGAGTAAACACGGTGTCTTAGAGCCGACAGTGTTAAAATAGCACTCTTTGTCAGGTTGTGAACATACTTAATCCACTGGCCCTGCTAACACGTATGAGTATTATTTATACATGTAGGTAAACAAGTTGATAATCTCTACTTATCTATACTTCCAGATTACTGTAATGTTTAAGAAATCTAAATGCATGATAACACTTAATATTATATACGAATGCTGTTCAATAGTCAGCGCTAATCAAAGAGGTCAAGTTTCAGGAATATATCCTCATGTATGACATACAGCCACTTTAAGCAAATCAGTAACTCGATCGGTACACTGATATCCAGCACTTAACATACGATGTTGTTCAGCAAGGTTTGGGTGATTGTGCAGCAAACAAATGACAGTGCCGATGAAATAGTTTACATCAACCGGGAGTTTGTTTTCTCATATATTTTCGGTGAGTACTCGATATCATTGTTCGCTTCCTTCAAATAAAATGTTCGTGGAACTTTGTCTCATGCGACATTGAGAGAGGCGAGCATACATGTTGATATTTAATCCAGTGTGTGCCAGTTTATAGCGTCGTGTGACATTGTTACACATGATAACCTGGTTTATGTATCATGTGTTGACAGGCAGAAAGGTAACACGTACCGCCGTAGTGGAAAACCAACAGTCACGTGTGGTCACACCTCAGGTTACTTTGACCTCACTCGCCAGTTTTTGAGAATAGCGGGATCGTAGAAATCAATGGGGGTGTGAGGTCAAGCATATTGAGGTCACTGAACAGCACGTGGTGGTCACCTGTTTGTTTCCGCTAAGGCTGGAGCTTTATGAAGACTTGTCGCTGACTGTACTGTCACCCTCAGGTAGGACATACCAGCAATCACCGATACATATCTTCTGACCCATATTCCATATGGTATTAGCAAATGAAAATGATATGATCACATCTACCGAGGAGTTGGCGATTAAAGAGGTCGTAAGACAAATTCGAAATTTCATTCTACAACTAACCTTGACCAAACGTGCACACGAAACCTTCGAGGAAGGCATATATGGGGGAATAGATCACAACCCTAGCAAGGTGAGCGGGTGCATTATCATCTGGACAGATGAAACGTTGCCCAGTACGTTCTATCATGAGTGGTGCAATCATGTTGTGACGATGGTGAGTGAGTGAGTGGGTATGGTTTTACGCTGCCTCCAGCAATATTCCAGCAATATCATAGCGGGAAAAACCAGAAATGGGCTTCACACATTGTACACATGTGGGGAATCGAACCCGGGTCTGCAGCGTGACGAGCGGACGCTTTAACCATTAGGCTACCGCTTGTAACGATGGTATTGACCTGTTGCCATGGACACTACGGTCGGAAGTCACTTAGGTTGGTCATTGTTTTACGTTATTTTTATGGACCATATCCCATAGTCGAATAGCTGCAATAGCGGATGCAGCGTTAACCAATATTCACTCACTCACTCACTTCCATTACAGTCCGTTTGAGACAAAATGATACCGATGAATTGCAATCTAACACAAAAACAAATAGACATAAAAGAATCAAACCAACGCGGACTGCAATAAAAACAACACACCAACTCTAGAAAAAAATTGCATAATTTTGTCACAAAAATAAAAAAGTAGTTTAAGAAACTGTCATCATTTATTTGTGCGCACCCTAGTTTGTTACAAGGGCGCAGTGGCAACTAAAGGAGCAGCGCGAAAAAGCGAGAGTGTGAGGGCACGTGCACCACGCGCTCGCTGTCTGTGCAGACGACTTCGTACCATCTGGGCATGTGCTGTTTCACAAAGTAAAACCCCGTCCCTTGTATGAGTATCAGTCCACAACCACTTTCTAAATATCATTATTTTGATTAATCTGTCCTGGGCTGAAGTTGTTGCCCTTGATCAATCTAAGCACGTCATGTTATATCGTGCAGCGTCACCCCGCCGTGTGAGTAGTAGTTGTCCTATCTACCGTGATACCCATGGTATATGATAGTCTTTTCCCGTACTATCAAAAGTAAGAAATCGGTATAAGAGGCTAGTTATCCTGGTGATAGGTTGTTATAGTTTTATGCCAGAATGAAATACAATATTGTAACACGTTTATACAGTTTTACATACAGAGGTTCTATTCCAAGTTGGGCATATACCAGAAGGTCAAGTGTTGAATAACGGAGGCCAGCATCATGTTCAAAATGCGTTTTAAATCAATAAGATTTACGTTCTCAAAAACCCAAATCTCAAATTCGTGCAGTAGAATTTTACCAATCATCGTGTCAAATGCAGTTGACGTGAAATCAAGCGGTAAGATAATATTTCGGCCATAATAATGAAAACATGACTTTCGTTGTGTTTTCGACTAACGATTTCATATCTGTTATAAATCTTAGATTTTATTTATGCAATACAGTTCTCTCTACCACCATGTATAGTGTAATAAAGCAAACTTTCGCCCTGAACTATTATAGTTAAAGTACGAGGACGCTTGCGTCCGACTGCTTTAACGTTATAATAGTTCAGGGCGAAAGTGTGCTTTATTACACTATACATGGTGGTAGAGCGAACTGTATTTCTTTTCTAAGATGCCAAATGTAATACTTTCTAAGGATAATTACGATTATTTTAAGGCAAAAAACTAACGACGGTGTCAGTGAGCTAAATTAAGAATCTCTGCACAGGGCTAACTGGCGCGCTGTTCTATTGATGTGTCTGCCCCTGCCCCCACACAATAACACACACACCCTCACCCCCACGTTAATACGAACGTTACCTGAAAAAAACAGTTTGATGACTGTTTACGTACGGATTAAATACCTTCTCTAAATTATTTAATTACATCTATGATTAACGTAAACCATGTGGGGCAATGTGAACGTCGCATTTCTACTACCTAAGTTTAGATCAGTACATCCAGATGAAGCTGAGTAGTCAAGCGACATTCCGCGATTGCATTGTGGGAATGTAAACATTGCGAAAGTTACCGTGTCGCTGAAAACTTGTGAGTCGAATTGAGACATTTTAACCGTCGGAAAACATAAACGTAATGATTCCACCAGTGATGTTAGCTGCGTGAAGCAACTGCAAACCAAGAAACGGGATGCAACGGAGTAGTTTACTGTAGGAGGCTGTACGAAGAGATGAAAACTGACATGCATCGTGACGTCGCTAACATTGTGACGTAACGCAAAATTGTTTCGATTACGAGGGGGCATGTTCTCATGTCGCCTACATCCCAATTCGCCTACAGTCTTAAAACACCATTTCATGGTCTGTTGACTGTTGATTACGCAATGGTAAACTAGTGGCACCCCTATGATCTAAAAGTGGACTCTTCTAGTTGTAGGACAAAAAAACATTTTTTAAAGTATTTATTTCTGTTATTTGTCTGTTATTTATTTACTCTGTTACTTGTCCATTTTCCGATCACAATGATATTCACATCATATAACATCATATCACATATGCTTAGTGTTAAGGAACTTTATTTGTGGGGATGTCCATTCTCGCTTCTCCACGAACACGTTGTCTCAGTCTGAACTTCTTAGTGGATGCAATTAAATATATTCACATAGTGTGTGCAGTCGAGTATTTCATATATACAGATGAATAAGTAATGCATTTTATATATAGATAGATTGCAAATCTATCTGCAAATACATTGCATAAAGATAAAAGAAATATTTAGATGGAGTATTCTTACCGAAGATTCTTAAAAACATTTATGATGATATTACAGAATAAACAGAGTTTTCTAAGAATACCTTTCTTATTGCTATTGAATAATGTATACATTTTATGAAAATTTGGTTTGGAATAAAAATATGACTTTAAATATTTAACTCTTGCATTTATGAGTTCTTGAGTGAGAACAAATAAATAAATAATGAAATTCATCGCCAATGTCCTTTCCATTACAAAGTTTACATATTCTATGACGTTTTTGAATATTGCTCCAGCGGCCTGTTTCAATGGGTAAGTTATGATTTGCTGTTTCATAACGTAAAAATGCCTGTGAACAATTATCATTTAAAATATCCAAATATTTACTCAACCTTAAATCTAAGTTAGATACGGAGCTATATAAGATACCTTTTGATGAATGTTCTACCGTAGACAACCACACTTGCTTATACGCCTCTTAGTTTACATTCAAACTTTTGGGAATTCCAGATATAACTAAGTCCAATTTCGTCAAAAAAATATTTAATATTATTATCCATTGATGCTTACTTTTTCCAAAATGTGTGTCGTTAACAGTAATTTAGACATGAGTAAGGATAATTTGGAAGATTTACCTAATTGGTATGGCACTGACCAGTGAGTCAGGTTCATTATAAGAGTAGGGGTGCATTTTTAATCCCAATTAGCCTACATTGTTTTTGTATGCGAAATGGGATGTAGGCGAATTGAGATGTAGGCGAATAGAGACTAAACCTACGAGGGGGCAGACTAGAATGGCGCAGTGACGCCAATACATTGTGACGCAATGCAAAAAGTGCACATTATCGTCTGATAAAGTACTGCCGGCGCCTTTGATCTTTCACCGAAGCATCTTAGAATTCCAGATAAGTGTCGACAATTTTTATTCATAGTTCATAGTATATATTATTTTTGAGCTTGTGTGCTTGGCAAGCCCTGTTCCAAAAACAAGGATGTTAGTTTTAGAGATATTTACATTTGGTATCCACATTAAATAACATTCATAGAAAGCATCCAATGACCTCTGCAATGCGGGCGGTCCATCGCTAAATAGAACAGCATTATCAGCATGAAGTACTACTGGAAACTGTACCCAGATCTTTATATCGCCATGTATTACATCTTCTAAACTAACGCCTGTACATATTTCTTTAAATAAAAAAGACTCAAGATCATTTACTAAGCCCGAGGACAGAAGTAAATATTTTCTCCTTGTCTAACGTCAGTGTTACACGGAAAATGGCAGGATAGTTTCAAGTATAGCTGTAGACTGGTTATTTTAGTGCATATTTGTAACTAGAGTTAGACCTTCTCCTTCGGATACACTTGTAGCATTTTGAACTACACAATGTCGAACGCTTTTGTTAAATCAATGCCAACCCTATAAGTTACCCTGTAGCTGTTTACATACCACTGTATGTTCATCATCTAAGAAATATAATATATATTATTGACAAACATTGCGGAACGGTCATTTTATATTGTGAAGAACATGTCGTATGAGGAGACAGGTATGTTTTGTCTCTTGGTATTTTTAATTTGAACAGTCGAGACGAACAAGAGCGTGTGGACCCGAATCCCAGATGGGACTCAACCCAACAAAAGTACAAGAATCTGTACTTTACTGAGAAAGTGTAATCCCTAATATAACGTGTTACATGAGACAAACCAGGTTAACAATACCACCATTACTGATGGTTATATGTGCGGCAATAACTTACATCACCAATGTCTTTTATTTATTTTGCAGATGCTCCTACAGCGGAAACCATGCATGTTTCGTGGACGTGTAACGCCATCAGTGTCGACATTGGTCATTACTTGCAGCATACTGAGCCACACACAAATTACAACACACGAGATCTATCATCAGTGCACAAACTTCTCCTCTTGGTGCTGTCTTTGGTAGGGAATGCGTCTTTATGTGACGTCCATGTTGTTGATGGCAGAACCCCGCTGAAAAATCAACAGTACCTGAGCACGTCCGCGAGTCACGTGATGCTCTCGGCAAGATGATCATTGGTTGTTAGTGGCGATGCTTTCCGTACCAGTGAAATGTTCGTTTATCGACTACCAATACGAACGCGTTGGAGAGCAGATAACACAAGGCTAACATACAATCATTGTTCTAATTGTTAATATCTGGACAGGTAACTTAAGTTAGTACGGAGGTGTCGGCTGGAGTGAAAAGCATCATAGCGAGTAGTCACATTAGACAACAGTAAACAGTATATGACCCAGGGATCACGCCACAGAGATCGCTCCTGGATACCCCGCGCTTACCGTTAGTGAGGAGGCGAATTTACCTGTGTCATTACAAGCCTCCGTTGAATGGGAATAGAGTCAGGGACGGGAAGATGTTCGGAATGGGTGTTAAAATATTACATACTGTTGGCAGAAACCCTGCATTATAGAAATAGACGGGAGAATGTGCCCACAAAAGTAATAGGAAACTGATGTGGCAGTTCGTGGTATATCAAACTGACCCTTTCTTTTGAACAATGGCATCGGTTCCAGAGTCAAACAAGATTTCACTGACCGTGGAGATAACTTTGCCAATCTTTTATCTTTTATGTTTCATTTTTCTGGGATTCCTGGTGGTGTGCAAGAACCATGTTTGTGACTTTCTGAAGAACTTTTCATCATTTGGCTTGTTAAGGGCCGGAAACGCCATTCCTGGAGCGGACGATGAATATGATGAGGAAAATGCCACGACAGAAGTGTAAGCATGACGGCTGGGCGGATCTGGGTTGATGAGGGAGTCTGTGGCAACTCTCTGTACGCCAGAAGTGTAAGCATGATGGCAACTCTCTGTACGACAGAAGTGTAAGCATGGAGGCTGTGTCGGTCTACATTACGTGTCTGGAAAGTTGATGAGAGGGTCTGTAGCAACTCTGTACGACAGAAGTGTAAGCATGGTGGGTGTGTCGGTCTACACTACGTGTCTGGAAAGATAACGAGAGAGTCTGTAGCAACTCTGTACGGCAGAAGAGTAAGCATGGTGGCTGTGTCGGTATACACTACGTGTCTGGGAAGTTGATGAGAGGGTCTGTAGCAACTCTGTACGACAGAAGTGTAAGCATGGTGGGTGTGTCGGTCTACATTACGTGTCTGGGAAGTTGTTGAGAGTCTTTGGCAACGCTGTACGGCAGAAGTGTAAGCATGGTGGTGTGTCGGTCTACACTATACGTGTCTGGGAAGTTGAATAGAGGGTCTGTAGCAACTCTGTACGACAGAAGTGTAAGCATGGTGGCTGTGTCGGTCTACACTACGTGTCTGGAAAGATGATGAGAGGGTCTGTAGCAACTCTCTGTAGCAACTCTGTACGACAGAAGTGTAAGCATGGTGGCTGTGTCGGTCTACACTACGTGTCTGGAAAGATGATGAGAGGGTCTGTAGCAACTCTCTGTACGACAGAAGTGTAAGCATGGTGGCTGGGTTGGTCTACACTACGTGTCTGGAAAGTTGATGAGAGGGTCTGTAGCAACTCTCTGTACGACAGAAGTGTAAGCATGGTGGCTGTGTCGGTCTACACTACGTGTCTGGAAAGTTGATGAGAGGGTCTGTAGCAACTCTCTGTACGACAGAAGTGTAAGCATAGAGGCTGTGTCGGTCTACATTACGTGTCTGGGAAGTTGATGAGAGGGTCTGTAGCAACTCTGTACGACAGAAGTGTAAGCATGGTGGCTGTGTCGGTCTACACTACGTGTCTGGAAAGTTGATGAGAGGGTCTGTAGCAACTCTCTGTACGACAGAAGTGTAAGCATGGTGGCTGTGTCGGTCTACACTACGTATCTGGGAAGTTGATGAGAGAGTCTGTAGCAACTCTCTGCAAGTACAAATGCTCCCCGTCATGTTCTCAGATTTGGCCAGACTTGAAACGAGGCCAAATGCATTTCGTACGCATTCTCCTACACAGACATGTTTGTATTTACGGAATAATTTCACCGAATTTCACGGTTTTCTCAACAAATACACTGAGTGGGTTTTGTTTGACGTTTAATGAAACAAAAATGCCTTTGTTCCAGGAGAACCATGATCTCTTTCTACAATGCTTACCAACCAGCAAACTGACTTCCAACACTTACATTTCTCTCAGAACTGCTACACATGACGTGATATCAGTTGCTGTCGCTATGTGTTTGTGTTCAGAACATGTATAAGAGGATTGTTATTCTTATTGCAATATGAGGCTATTGGTAATAAAGCAAGGTTTCCAGCAACTGACGACAGTTCGTCAAACACTGCCTTCTGTGTATATGAGTTCAAGCACCCAGTCAAGCAATCCATGGCAGATGAGTCCAGTCAAGCAACCTTCTGTATATATGAATGAAGCCAGTCAAGCAACCTTCTGTATACATGAGTCCAGTCAAGCAACTTTCTGTAAATATGAGTCAAAGCAACCAGTCAAGCAACTTTCTGCTTGTGAGCGAAGTCAAGCAGCCTTCTGTATAGATGAGTCCAATCAACCAGTCTTCTGTATAGATGAGTCCAATCAGGGAGACTCTATGTTGTAGAGTATCCCTGGTCCAATCAATCAGTCAAGCAACCTTCTATATACATGAGTACAGTCAACTAGTCAAGCAACCTTCTATATACATGAGTACAGTCAAATAGTCAAGCAACCTTCCGCATAAATGAGTGCAGTCAACTAGTCAAGCAACCTTCTGTATATATGAGCCTCCTTTACCCTTGAGCTCAGAAAGGAGAGTTCAAAGACAAGGAGAAAATTCCTTGTAAGAAATGTTTTTAGAGAAGGTAAAGAAACATCAATTGATGGATGAGGTGCAGCGACTTGGGATACTCCGTACCCCAATATATAAAAATTGCTAAATCTTCTTCAGGATTAATTTTAACCAGTTTATGCCAAAGAATAGATAGTAACATAATATTTTCGCTTTGAAAATATGCAGTCGCCGTTTAACATCTATTGCTGATCTGTTGGTGTGGGGAGAGTTTATTTACTTGAAATAGCAGTTTGTAGAAGCGGCTCCAGCAACTGCCCGAGTGTGAGGACGTCAAAGACAACCTTCGGAATTAGTAGTGAACTATGAAATGTGTTCTCGAATATATATTCTAAAATTAAGTAAGTTCACGAATCAAATACAATTAAAAGTTTAAAAAAAGATATCACTATGACAGTACAACACTGTATGGCAGTACTGATTCAGAGGCGGTTTAATTCCAGATCAGGGATGGAAACAATAAAGACAGTAATGGGAATATATTTACCTCTCAGTAGCAGCAGTCCTACTTGTAACTATATACCTAGCTAGGACGGGTATATCATCAACACTTACAGTGATACACGTCTCTTAACTGATATAATGTGAGATGAGGGGGCACTATATATATATTCTTCCCTTATATACGCATAAACAAGTTGCAAGAAAAGTCTACAATATCATGTGGGAAACAACACGCTGGAACATTTTATCAGATTTTATCTTTATATATCATGTTAAATACACCAATGATTTTTTTTTCACACACTAAAAATGTATGCTCAATGTCTGTTGTAATATGAATAGAATTAAAACATTGAGAAACTCGCGTTTCAGTATTTTTTGTTGTTGACTAAATCCTACCACTTCGTGTAATACCACCCACTCCAGAGAGAGAGAGAGAGAGAGTTGACATTTGATGTATACAGAAACACAATCAAACATTCACAAAGTGACGACTTTCATGATCATTGTTCAATTCCTCATCTGCGTATACATATTTTGTGCGAACTACAGCAACATTTTTATCACGCCTTACAATAATTCATGTTCACTTCATAGTTTTTGCTTACGTCACCTGTCAGTCATTACATCAATTGAACCCACGCCCGGAATGATTGGATCAAAACAATCACGAAAGAATTCTAAACTGAACATGAATTATTGTAGGTCGTGAAAAAGCTGTTGCTGTAGTTCACACAAAATATGTATCTGTAGATGGGAGCTTGAACAATCATCATAAATAAATTGAATAAACTAATGAATAAAATCAACAACAGCATTCATAAAAGATGTCAAACGTACATATAAAATTACTATTTCCATCTTTTTGTGCGATCATGTCATGTAAGTCGATCAAGTCACTGACAAGTGACATCTCGGCTCTAGCCGCCTCAATCTTCATGCTCGGACACGATGTTTAATGTGAAAATATGTGCATGAAGCATTTTTGTCACAGGCACAATACATTCAATAAGTTCCATGATTTACGTATAGGTAGCGATTTCCTGCTTAATATGTACAAAATAGCATTATTTTACCCGAAACTTTCGTCTAAAAGTTTTCGTTTACGAGGACGGTATCCATTGCCGTAATTTGATTGGCTGCCTTAGGTCACGTGTCTGATTTTGACCAATAACGACCTTATAGCAGACAGTGGCGAAAAAGCGTCATTAGAAACCAATCTTTATCCAATAAAATCGCTTCTTACAACTGTGAAAATACTCTCGGCAATGGTACAGTGATGTTGTTGATGTTCAGAGCATTCGAACGATACCCGACATCAAACGATTCGCCTCCGATGTTATTCATACGAAACTTCGAAAACGGAGGTATTTTCCGTTGTCGTGTAATGTTACCGAGCGGAAAGCCACTGGTATCAGGAAATAGGCGACCATACATATTATTTAAGAAATCTTTTTATAATAATTTTCTGATTACGTAAAAATGAAAATATAAACGAAAAAGGCACGGGCATGTTATGACATGTCACATGCAAATGGGAAAAAATCGCCATAGTTTTTGCTTCTTTCGTGGTTTATCTGGACATTATAAATGTAAGCTTGCATTTTCATTACAAAAATAAATCTATTTAAGTTGTAGTTGTATTATTTGAATAATATGATAAAATAAACTTCATATTTATCAACAATGCGATTAGATCTTTTAAATGGTGTATGGGATGTAGTATCCCACCGTAACATGAATTCGGCGTTCTCCTGTTTTCGGCGATCGTACTTCTCGCGTGATTTCGCCCGAACGCGCGCGAGGTCTGGGGGCAGGATGCAAATTTCCTGAAATGAGGTCACGTCAACTCGCTCCGTGAAAAAAGTTTTCAATAATGGAAATCAGGAAGGTAAGAATAACGAAAAAATAGCAGTACCTAAATAATAACATTGATTTTCTAAATACTTTATTTCACCTCATTATAAAGCTGTGTAAATAAGGTAAATGAGCCCACTATCAATCTTCGTTTGCATCGTCTGCTAGCCGATGATGTTTGTCAACATTATATCACGTGACTTGTGACGTAAGATGCCGCGCGATTAAAAAACTACGGAAACATTTTCGGGCCATCCTTATCCAATTTCTCCGTAACGTTAAACAATTTCTGATAGGTTTTTCTTGTATCCTTTCATACAAATACGACTGTGCGCGGTCCGTATAGGTCCAATTACACCAGAGATGATCTAGATAATGCTTACAGACTATAGGTAGAAGAAAATGTGCCCGCACAGAGAGCAGCAGCCAGGTGGGGGGTTCCGGTTTCTACCCTTAAGGATCGTTTGTTGGGCAATATCAGCGTAGATACTGTCAGGTCAGGTCCCATGCCTCTGTTCTCACAAGAAGAATCCTTTTTAGCGAGCCATATCAGAGTTATGGAGGAGATTGGCTATGGTTCTACGCGTCAGGAGACCATTAATCTTGTAAGCGATTACGCTGTCAATCAAGGACACAGAGGCAGAGATCATCCTTTAAGTCTCCGATGGCTGTACAGTTTCTGAGATAGATGGCCGGAACTTAAAGTACAGAAACCGAGGAAACTTGAAGCAGCGAGGGCGAGATCAGCCACCAAAGAAAACATCAGTCGGTATTTCACAGAACTCTCCAACGTCATGCAAAAGTACAACTTTCAAAGTTCACCCCAGGCAATTTTTTAATATCGATGAAAAGGGACTATCAACTGATGTAACACCACCCAAAATCGTCGCCGGGATACATTGCAAACCACAGACCGTGACATCTGGGAAATCACAAACGGTAACAATGATTGCCGCTGTTAACGCAGCTGGTGGCAGCGTTCCCCCTTACTTTGTATTTCCTGGACATCGTATGAGAGATGAGCTGTTATCAGGAGCTACACCCGGTACTGGAGGCACAGTTTCAGAGACAGGGTGGTCTAATACGGAAGTATTCAGCACGTATATGAAAACGCACCTGGTCCGACACTTGCCCTCACGCAGCGCCGACTCTCCCGTTCTCATCCTCTATGACGGACACAAGAGTCACGTTTCCCTTGGATTGATAGAATGGGCACGGGAAAATCACATCGTCCTATTTGTTCTTCCCCCTCATACAAGCCACCTCCTACAGCCACTGGACATCGGATGTTACGGGCCTTTTGAGACGACATGGATACGATCATGTCATTCATTCTTAAGCGTGAACTCTGGAAAAGCTATCGGAAAGCATGATATATGCAGCGTAGCATGTCGTGTTTTCAACTCAACGTTAACTCCTGTTAAAATTTTGTCATCTTTCACAAAATCAGGAATCTTCCCCCTCAACCCCGAAGTGATTGATGACTTGGCTGTAATACCGGCCCGATCTTTCTCTAGACCGACACCCGCGGTTTCAAGTTCAACAGGTACGCTCGTACAGGACACCGACGACAGACTGGGGTACTGCAAGGACATTCTTGGAATGTCGGGGAAGAGAAGTTTTGAGAAATGTTCAAACACACAAGCCAAGGAACACCATCAGTAAAATCGTTGGCGGGAAAGTCATCACAGATCAGGCAGCTGTTGACAGGATAGCCGAGCACAAGAAACAGCATCCAGAGAAACGGAAGGCTGATAAGGAAGTCGGCAAGGGGAAGAAGAAGTCAAGCGGCACTACATCGTTGTCCACATCGTCCCTGTTGTCGAAAGGGAATTCTGCCCAGAATAAGTCAAAATGGAAAGGACCTGCACGCAAGAAACGCAACGCTCCGCCCCCATCAACAACCTTCTCAGACTGTTTTTCCGACAGTGCAACTGATGACGACTAAGTTTGCTGTGTGTGCGGAAGATTTACACCCGATGCATTGCATCGTTGTGACTCAATCACGTTTGTGAAATGGGCACAGTGTGACAAATGTGGTCACTGGGTTCACCTTGTCTTTTGTACAAGTGTCACCGTTTTACGTACACATGCGGCATTTTTCTGTCCCCACTGTGATCACAGCCCAGTGGAAGAGTGAACTGCATTCATAAACTGTCATCAACAGTGTATATAACCTGTTTGGATTTCATCGTTATCTGTGCTTGAAATTGTTGAACTGACATTTTATTTTAACTCTTAAAGATTGACAAGTGACTAGAAGACATGAATTTGCCTTGATGAATTATATCCACATTGGAACACCATAGATATTCTGTGTATAACGTTATCGCCGAAAACTGGTGCCAAATATAGAACGTTACGGTCATGGCGGCCTTGCTCAACCGACGAAGCCGAGAGAATCATTAAAAAAGTAAGTCGAAACACCTTGGCTAACGTACTTTGTCTTGAATGTAAAATATATTTATTACGATAGCATGGTTACATATGTACCGCGAATCCCTGTTACGTCGCCGAAAACAGGTGAAACTGGGATAGCAATAACGTTTTACAAACTTATAATTTCCTTCATAAACATATGCTTCATCTGTGACCTTAAGAGTCTTTGGGAACTCGGTGTCATGGCAGTAAATGCCTCTGGTTGACTGGTGTTGAAACAGTTAAAATGGCAGTTTAAGACCGCAATTAAAGTGACTGATTCACCGCGTATGAATGCAACGAACAAACATGTCGGACATAGGCAATTTCTATCTCAGCAGCATCTTTGATGTTTTTGAAGTTAAAAGCGAATGGTGTGAAGAAGAATTTCCGTCAGAAGCGCAACAGCGGCAGTATGTTAAATTCAAACCGGGTCCAGATGTACGTCGGCCCACACGTCCTAACCTGACCGCTTCCGCCCCGGCCGTAGTGCCCAGTCCTTCCACTTCCACTGTCCATGTATCCCACATAAAACGTGGCATGTCAGGTCTTTTCCAAATTGGGAATAGTAGGGTGGTTATCAACAATTATTTCCGTGAAAATGGTTAGCGACTAAACTTAGCGAGTTCACGATTTGAATTTGGGCGAGTCGATTGTCATACAGTAGGGGAGATCAATAATTCGCTTGAGAAAAATCAAATAAATGTACTTGCTCACAGTATAAACTGTATTTTTTTATGTATGTATGCTACTTGTTACAAATACAAGCATAGTGGTTCCTTAAATAAGGCATTTATGTTGTTGAAAATGTTTTATTTTGTTCATTACACAACCTGTCCCACAACGGGACGATTCCATGGCAAGCGATTTCCAGGAAAAGGGCCCCTTCGCGCCTTGTGTTCTTGCGCGCCTAACAGTTCGGTTTTAAAACGCTTATCAGTCTTGCTAGAATGAAGATAGCTACTCAGTAGCTTTATCTTCTAATTATAACAGGCCATTTTCCAAAATTGGAGTCATATCCTTTTTACATAAAAAAAAATAGGGTTGAATTAGAATGACAATAGGACATATAATCAATGAGTCTATGGTCTTAAAGGTGCAAACTACACTCAGTTACAGTTTGGCTCTGGGCAGTTCCCATATACCCTTTAACGTATGATTATGCCGGTTGTTTAGTCTACAATGTCACAAAAACACAGGACAGAAAACGAGTGAATTCCTAATTTTTTACGCGTATGTTGTGCCCTTAAACGCGTATTGACAAAAACTAGCAAGGCAATACATTCTTAGAGCGAAACCTCACAAAAGAAACCTGCATTTCATTTATAGAGTGTCCTACAAAGCGACATACCTTGATATGCAAGCTGAACACCCTTTTCTACGGTAAAACGATATGTTTCAATTCAGCTCACGGGTTAGGCCTTATGTTAAGCTCAGCTATGGTGGCCTTGTGTTGCATTGACTGTCTACAAATAGCTCAAGTACAAAAGAAAACATCATATAAATCAGTAGATGTCGGCTACGGCGGTTTTTGCGGCACGATCGTTTTGTGAAACGTGGCCAACAAATATAACGATACAATAATGTTCAAAGTTTATAGGAAGTATGATGTTCTCTGTGCATCTGGATGTTGGCTAGATGTTCTACACATAGTTATTTGTCAGATATATCAGGGATACTCTACAACAGGGATAGGTCACTCGCTTGCTTTCTTTACCATTTGTACTAATTAACGAGTGCCTCGTCATGCTCCAACGCACACAGTGACTTGGTTCGTTCCCAGCGTAACTTCGGCTGCGTTTAACAGTACTGCAGCCAGTGTTTTGTATCAGTCGGAAGTTTACAATGAATGAATGAATGAATTAAGAGCAAGAATTACCGTATATGTGAATGAATGAAAGAAATAAAGAAAAAGAACAAAAGAAAGAAATGCATATGTGAATGAATGAAAGAATAAATGATACACCACGGCCATCCCTCCCCAAACATGTTAAAGAACTCAAAACTATCTGTAGAAAACATGTGTTAACATCAGCTATCCTCTTTTTTAAAAATCTACTTTGAGACATTTGTTTTCATTAGTAACTAATTCAGATATCTTATTGCATGTGTGGAATGGCATGGGCATTGACAGAATGTTATATCTGACACTGTCACAGATCCCTCACAAACAGAAAGTTTAGAACTATCACAAAGCGTTGTAAACACCTTTCCAGTTTTGTCATATACTAAGATTAACAAGAAAGAAAGAAGTTTTAGAACTATAACACTCAAGCATCACAAGCATCAATGGCGTATCAGAACAGATCGGCGATATGTCATATTTTTCACACACCTCAAATACACCCAAACAATATTAAAAAAAATATAATACTATCACTATTACTTGCAAACACCTTTCACCTGATGGTATATTCCCCTCATAAAAATAAAAGGTGTATGTGAAAGATGTTTTAGAACAATAACTAGAAACACTCAAACAACGCCCTGTAGTATTTCAATGGCAGATGGGCGATATGTCATACTTTTCACACACCTCAAATACACTCTAACAAATTTGTTTTAGTTATAAAACTATCACTATTACTTGCAAACACCTTTCAACTAAAGGTATATTTCCCTTCTAAAAATGAAACGAATATGTGAAAGAAGTTTTTAGCGATAGAATCTAGTCTTTCTTCGCTGTGTACTGAGAATTGAAGCCAGTGAGCTACAACATGCCGACTTGAAACTTTACTACAAATCTACTGTACTAATACTGACACTAATAACAATTATTTGACTTAAAATGAAGTGACAGAATAGGTAACTTATCTTCTACATGTAGGTTTTCAGTTGTCACAACACTCAGCGTATGTAATCAGCTGTTGAAAATAAACCGGGCTACACTAGTCACGTGACGAGCCGGGGCAAACGCTAACAAAAACTATATATATATTATTTTTTTTTCTGGAGCGGACACGGCCACTCCCCTGCTCACGCTCTGGGGAGCGGACACGGCCGATCCCCTGCTGTCACTCTGGGGAGCAGACACGGCCGCTCCCCTGCTCTCACTCTGGGGAGCAGACACGGCCGCTCCCCTGCTCTCACTCTGGGGAGCAGACACGGCCGCTCCCCTGCTCTCACTCTGGGGAGCAGACACGGCCGCTCCCCTGCTCTCACTCTGGGGAGCAGACATGGCCACTCCCCTGCTGTCAATCTGGGGAGCAGACATGGCCACTCCCCTGCTGTCAATCTGGGGAGCCTCTGATTCTGGGGAGCAGTCACGGCAACTCCCCTACTATCACTCTGGGGAGTGGACACGGCCGCTCCCCTGCTATCACTCCTTTCCGCTCTGGGGAGCGGACATGGCCATTCCCTTGCTCTCACCTTGGAAGGTGGACATGGCCGCTCCCTTGCTCTCATTTTGCTCACCTACCCTGGGGAGCGGACACGGCCACTCCCCTGCTATTACCCTAGGGGGTGGACACGGCCACACCCTGTTTCAAGACCCTCTTTGGGACGCATGTGTTGTCCCTCTTTGGGACGCATGGTGACCACTCCCCCTTGGATATATATAGGCTCACCGGCATATGCTAATCACGTGATCTGTGTCGATTTCACAACACTGTGGAAACAGCAAATGAAAGATAGACATGGCGCTTGGTGAATGTGTAGGACTTGTGTCTAGCGACAACAGGTCTCAAGGTGGGATTTTGTATTTGTGACAAACCACATGTTTTAGCTCCTTGACACATATACAGCACGGTCGAGCATAACCTGGTAGATCTATATGGTCTTGCTATCCAGCGGCCTGTTCTATTCTCGGCAGTCTAGATATTGTGATAGTATCCCCGTTACTTTTTTTTTCACATGTTTTTATTCAGTTCAAGAGTATACATATAATTGCAGAGTCTTCATATACACTACATTGATTCAGGATACATTTAAATATCAAATATCTACATGTCAAATAGATCTACATAGATTGGAACTATTGAAGCATATCCACCAGTGGTCTCCATTTTTGCTCAAATTTATGTTCTTTATTGTTCTTTGTTGCAATATATCTTTCTATTTTCATTATCCGTTACTTTGTCATTGTGGGCAGACCGTGTCACATTCCGAACATTCAAATCGTGACGCAAACATTGGCCCAGAACTGTTGTCACGGTAACAGCTACGCACAACTAGCACTTCCGCATTTGACGGTGCGCATTGGTTTACGGTTCCCTTGGAAATATTGGCTCTTCCCTATTCTCCGAATACGCTGTGTAGAACTCGTGTACACACAGTCGAAAGTACAATCGATTATTGTGTTAGATGATCTTAAATGTCACAGGCAAGCTTATTTGTCATTTCCAGTGAATGGGTGCATATCGTAGCGTCTCTGTTAGAATAACTTAGACGCTGGCCTAAATTACGCCTCCCTCAAATTGAGCCAAATATAGCAGACTGGCCAATAGGTGATATGACTATATGCCTCAAGTATGGGGAGAGTCGGTGGTCAGACATATCCGGGAACCACACGTGACACTCCTGGAATATTGCAGTGTGCAAAATGAAAAAGCAAGCCAAAACTTTCAAAAGGTCTCCTGGCAAAAATGCATGGTCACCCAGACAGACATTTCAAAGCGAAAATGGAGATTAACTAAATGTGTTGAAGGGGTAGCACAGCCTGGAAAAACAAGAGACAACTCATAAATGAGGACACATTTGCTCCAAAACATTGTGTTCCTCGTAATATATAGTTGACATGGATGCAGTTACAATTGTTCTATCCCACTCTATCATATATGTGTATACACGATAGCCACGATCGACCTGTGAAGGTCCGGGTTAGAATATTGGCCTTCAGTAACCCTTGCTTGTCTAAGAGGCGACTAACGGGATCAGGTGGTCAGGCTCACTGACTTGGTTGACACATGTCATTTCTTCCCAATTGCGCAGATCGATGCTCATGCTGTTGATCAGTGGATTGTCTGGTCCAGACTCGATTCTTTACAGACCGCCATACAGCTGGAATATTGCTGAGTGTGGCGTAAAACTAAACTCACTCTCACATGATAGCCAAACACACACGCATGCACGAACGCACGCACGCACACACACACGCCATATTGTCAACAGGGAACCTAGGTCTGAATGAAGAATACATTCACTAACAAAAAAACATAAGTCAAGTGGTGATTCCAACTCTATTATGTCGCAAGTGCATCAAGCATGTGTATTGTACTCACAGCTTTCAATGTGGCTGCAGTCAGACTACCAGCCTGACTACCAGCATAGATGTAGACATCAACATATAGTAAAAGACAAAACTGGAGAACACAATGGCATTGCCCTGGACACTGGAATTATGGATGTGATGACACTGAGATCGAGAGCCAAGGGGATCATCAGTGAAGGATATAATATATGTAAAAAAACCCCAGTAATTAATGAAAGTGACGGGGGTTGGCTGACAAGTCGACACCATCATGCAATGGTGATGAGGATTTAGTATTTGGTCCCTGAAAGTATTCAGTAAAGGTCATAATGACACTAGGTTTTTTTATTTTGTCTTTTCTTGCCTTTGTTATATGTGATCTACCATGTGAGATGCATTTGTTGTGTTGTTTTCCTGTGCAGAAAACTGTCCAGATTGACAAATAAGAATTATTATAAGAAGATTATTTCCAATTTCATGGTGTTTAAATGCTTAAATTTATCAATTCAATTCTTTGCAGTTCCTTTAAAATCAGTATCAACGGATGTGACAATTCAAGCTTTTGTAGCAAGAGTTGAGGCGACCTTGACCTATCTCAACAATGAAGACAACTGCATGGAAGTGGCATATGTCTTTCCAATGGATGATCACAGTGCTGTCTACAAGCTCATAGCTGACATTAATGGAAGGAAGATTGTTGCAGAGTGCCAAGAAAAACAGCAAGTAACTAACTTGTTTATATTGGTTATGACAGTAGTTATAAATAGCTAGAGCACATGAAGAAACAAGGCTTGTCATTAAACCTCCAAGAGATTATCTAACATTATGGAGACTTCATCCTGTTGTTTTGACAGCACCTTGTTGAATATCCTAACCTAACATTGATATTCTATGGGAGTTCCTTCTGAGATTTATTGTGTATTTGTATACAATTCATGTAAAACATGTTACAGTCATTACTTGAGGAACTGGGTTGACATGTTACTTTTATTGCTGTAGAATTGAACCTGCAGCTCTTTGTATTTGTAGCCTAATGACTATACAACCAGGTTACAGAGGTGCTGATAATCCTAAATGTTTCAAGTGCATGCCTACAATTATTATTTCCAGCAAGACATCTGTTTTATGGAAAGCGCGTTGGAAACATATAAAAGTGTTGATAATGGATGCATTTTTGGGCTTAATAGAGGGACATCACAGGCAACTGGAGACAATTTGAACTCAAATTGTTCATAAACGTGCAAGTGGTGCATATGGACAAAAATGATTAGGCTTGGTCATATGTGTTTCTGAACAATGCTAAGCAACTGAGAAAGAAAAGACATTTATTGAAGTGAGGGTGAATCTAAAGAATCTTATACATGCAACAAAAAATATTTGGAGAACTTTTTTTTTGCCACAGACAAACATGACAATAAAACTATTCACAAGCATAAGGTGAGAGGTTTCAGATATTTCACACCAAGGCAAATACGTGTATTATGAAGTTAGGAAGAAACAATGTGGAGAGAGATAACTATGGGATCGTTTATAATTTATAGGTGATTCTCCCTGAAAATCATCATCAGCCCCACAAACAAGATGTACACTCAGATGAATGGAATGGAAATCAAAGAATGCAATGGTATTCTGTTTAAAGGAGACAAAGTCATTTGCCTAGTAATCCTGCGGCATCACTGTAAACTTTCTGTATTGGTGTAACATGAACTTCATCATTGACCAGTTCCTCTATGGTGTACACATCTGTCATAAAGGCTATGTTTTTCACATAAATCTATTTAATATCTTCAGAGCTTGGTTACAACCTTAATATCTAGAACAATTGGAAGATGTTCGATGTTTACATAGACGATTGCATAGGCTGATGTAATTGACCTCATGCACTTTAAGGTCAACTCAGTTTCACCATTCATCTGTTGCGTCAATGGACAAAGAACATCAACAAGTCGGGGCTGGTTCTAAACCAACAACTTCAATTGTCAACATTGCAAGATGTTCATCTACCTTCACCCCTCCATTGGTGTTACCTTCAGTGGTGGCTGATACAATCAAATATTTGTGATGGAGTTCAAAGCAACACACTATCTGTTCACCCTCAAGACAGTTTTTCTAGACTAATGCTTAGTCCCTGAATATATATGATTTTTATAGTAACAAATAAACCCATTTAAGTTGGAAAGGAGCCCGATTGAGTTGGGGCATCCTGAACCTGGGCAAATCTAGACTTGCTTCATTTAGAACTTTAGCATTGCAGGTTAATCCCACCATTCAGCTGTGGGACAGGTGCATTATGTGAGATAGGATAAGTTTATCAAGAACAAATACAAACCTGGATATTTCTTAAGTACCAAATTGCTGCGACTTACAGTCAAAATATACTTCAGCACATAACATTTCCACTCAACACAATATACACATGTGGCTGTGGTAATAATGAGGATGTATGTACACATTTATTGAGAAAATCTACAAACTGATCTTAACATGACTTTCTGGACTCTTATTGTTCATCCCTTGATGGTGACAAATGGTGATGTGTTCACTCAGGCAAAAGAAACCTACCAAGAGGCAGTGAGGTCAGGACACACAGCCATGTTGTTGGAGGAAGATGACAGAGCGGGTGATATCTTCAAGTGCATGTTGGGAAATCTACCCCCAAAGTCGGAAGCTGTACTCCAGTTTGCCTACATCAGTGAGCTGACTGTGGAGGTTGATGGCTCCCTCAAATTTTTGCTGCCAGCAGTGCTCAACCCTCGATACACCCCAGCAGGTACAAGTCCTGAAAATACACAGTTATCTGAGTGCAGGTATAGGGAGGCCTTGGGTGCAGGGAGAGTAAGGAGTGTGCAGATAGATGGCAGGGGGAGATGAGTTTTAAGGACAGGGTAGTTGAAATGCAAGGGTGGTTTACAGGGATAGTTAGGAGGGGGGAGAAGTCAGGCCACAAGCCTTTATGTCATTGCATAATTATTTTTATATCATAACAAATGTCGGAAATGCACTATCCTATATGAATTCAAGCAAAGCCAGACACTCCGTACAGTACTGCTCACTTTCCTTAAACTTGCAACTCATGCACAAAAACTAGATATCTACATTGACATGGTTGATTATTAACCCCGCCGCGCGTTTAGCGCGAAGCAGGGGATGTAGTATTAGGCTCCGTCCGTCTGTACGTACGAATTGGAATATCTTAAGAACTGTTAACTAGATTATTATCATATTTGATACCTAGGTTCATCACAGTCTCGTCCCAGTCTGGTTTGGTGACCTTGACCTTCATTTGAAGGTCACAAGGGGACTTTAACGTTTTACCCTTGTCAGCAAGATATCTCAAAAACCGTTCACTGGATTTTCTTCATATTCAACACCAAGCTTTATCTAGGAAAGGCGCAGGGCCCCGTTGTTTGTGGTGACCTTCACTTAATTTTCAAGGTCATGGCGACACTTTGAAGATTTCAGTATGTTAACCTGCATGTTAAGCTTGTCAGTGAGATATCTCAAGAACCGTTCTCTGTATTTTCTTTATGTTCAACACTAAGCTTTATCTAGGGAAGGTGCAGGGCCCAGTCGATTTTGGTGACCTTCACCGAAATTTCAAGGTCATGGCGACACTTTGAAGATTTCAGCATGTTAACCTGCATGTAAAGATTGTCAGCGAGATATCTCAAGAACCATTCACTGGACTTTCTTCATATTTGACACCAAGCTTTATCTAGGGAAGGTGCAGGGCCCAGTCGATTTTGGTGACCTTCACCGAAATTTCAAGGTCATGTAAAGATTGTCAGCGAGATATCTCAAGAACCATTCACTGGACTTTCTTCATATTAGACACCAAGCTTCATCTGGGGAAGGTGCAAGGCCCAGTCGATTTTGGTGACCTTCACATAATTTTCAAGGTCACAGCGACACTTTGAAGATTTCAGCATGTTAAACTGCATGTAAAGATTGTCAGCGACACATCTCATGAACAGTTCACTGGATTTTCTTCATAGACTTTCAAGACTTCCCCTGAATGTTTTTCAATAAGCAATTTCTTTATTACTATTTTTGCATATTTCATACACTAAGACATTTATGTCAAGGTGAAAGTGAGCCTTGAAAATATACTAGGCACATAAAGAAACTGTGCATACAAAATTTTATAATCTAAATTTATATCAGAGATTAGTGACATGTATCCAACATGCATGCACGTGCCATGTTCCGTGACGTCAGTGAGTTCGTCCTTGAGACGTGCAATACGTCGTTGCACGTGCATTCCGGGAAAGAGAAACACAGCAAATGAATGCCACACAATACTGTCACTTTGGAAAGCTCAACCCCTGCCCTTGCGATCGTTCCAAAAATTAAACGGCTATTGAAACACATAGCATGCCAAGGCTCACGTCTGCACAACTTCATGAGGCCATTGGGATGGTCCGTGGGGGAATGTCTCAACGACAAGTGGCTGCACATTTCCACCTACCAGAACACAAATGACGTCATCGATTGGCCACGTTCTGGACGTCCACGTGTAACAACGCCAAGACAGGACAGATGGATAAGGGTGACACATCTTCGCCACAGGTTTCAGACTGCAGTGATGACTGCCCGAACCATCCCAGGACTTCCCCAACACAGTTCGACAACGTTTACGTCATCACGGGATCAGACCACGACGTCCCGCCATACAGCCTATCCTGACACAACGTCATCGACAAGTTCGCCGAATGTGGTGCCGAAATCATGTCCGCAGACCCTTGTTTTGGCGGAGAAATGTTGTTTTTACAGATGAGTCCAGGTTTAACATTTCCCATAGTGATGGACGTCAATGTGCCTATAGACGTGTGGGAGAACGTTATGCACAGGCCTGTGTCTTGGAGAGGAATCGCTTTGGTGGTGGTTCCGTGATGATTTGGGGTGGAATAACAGCACGCCAAAGAACTCCTTTGGTGATTGTTCAGGGCAACTTAACTGGTGTGGGCTACAGGGATCAGATTCTTCGACCTGTGGCAATTCCTTTTCTGCAACGTCATGGCCCTGGGTTAACATTCCAACAGGACAATGCCTGCCCCCATACGGCAAGGGTTGCTATGGATTTCTTGCAACACCACAATGTTGACTTACAGCCTTGGCCTGCAAATTCACCGGATCTCTCCCCGATAGAGCATGTTTGGGACGAGATGGTTCGACGTCTTCGCCGTCTTCCTCATCCGCCAGATAACGTCCTTGACCTTGCAACAGACCTTGAGAGAATCTGGCGTGATATCCCACAAGCCTTCCTTGCACGTTTGATAGGCTCTATGCATCGTCGATGCACTGCTGTTCTCAATGCCGATGGTGGACATACCCGTTATTGAGCTTGTGACATGGTTGTTTGACCCCTGTCCCGCTTGTGGACGTCATTGTGATTGACTTTTCAAGTGAAATTCTCCCGACTTGTTATGGTCTCATGATCCCTCCATTAAAGTTTATATGTACCTTTGACATTGTTATCGTACTTATCAACTGGGGTAATATTTTGACACTGCACAGTTTCTTTATGTGGCTAGTATATTTGTGCATTTGAACAACTACAGATCAAGATATCAAGAGAGGTTGACTGCTCATGTGTTTGTTGACATTTAACTTCATCTTAAATTATGCCCATCACTTTCATTACTTTTAAAGTTTGATTTGATAATTTGCGGCGGGGGATTATGTCACCTTAGTGACAATGCTTGTTCAATTGATTCCAATAGCTCTCAATTCTTTATTACTATTAAAACATACTGAGAGATATCAGTCAACTTGCGACTGGAAACCATTTGGACTCAAATGGCCGACATGGCATCTTGTTGGAAAACACCTATCTAATTGGCCAGACCAGAGTTTGTGTTATTTTTCTGATGATTATTGTATTACTGTGAAACATTAGAGTGAGGAGGCAGGAATAGAGAGAGGGTCATACCAGAATGACAGGCTAACTCAATGTATTCTGGGTGATTGTTTCAGACAAGGTTGCCACTAAAGACAATATCATCCCCTTTGTGAGTTCCATGCACTTAGCATACAGTATGGACTTCAAGGCAAAAATCATATCTGAAGATAAAATCCTGAAAGTATCATCTGAACATGACACACTACAAACACTTATGAAAATGGAGGAATCAAGAAACATCATGGAGGTAGGTCTGTACTCTGATGACATTTAGGTGTGTACTGGGCAGGTGGTAGATCTGTGCAGTGGTCAGTGTTGTCACTGTACAGGGGTCACGTGGTAGAACTGTACAGTGGGTAGTGTTATGGCTGTACAGGGGGCAGCTGGTAGATCTGTACAGTGGTTAGTGTGACAGTACAGGAGTCACGTGGTAGATCTGTACAGTGGTTAGTGTGACTGTACAGGGGTCACGTGGTAGATCTGTACAGTGGTCAGTGTTGTGACTGTACAGGAGGCAGGTGGTAGATGTGTACAGTGGTTAATGTTATGGCTGTACAGGAGGCAGGTGGTAGATCTGTACAGTGGTTAGTGTTATGGCTGTACAGGAGGGAGGTGGTAGATCTGTACAGTGGTTAATGTTATGACTGTACAGGAGGCAGGCAGTAAATCTGCACAGTGGTTAGTGTTATGGCTGTACAGGAGGCAGGTGGTAGATCTGTACAGTGGTTAGTGTTATGGCTGTACAGGAGGCAGGTGGTAGATCTGTACAGTGCTTAATGTTATGACTGTACAGGAGGCAGGTGGTAGATCTGTACAGAGGTTAGTGTTATGGCTGTACAGGAGGCAGGTGGTAGCTCTGTACAGTGGTTAATGTTATGACTGTACAGGAGGCAGGTGGTAGATCTGTACAGTGGTTAGTGTTATGGCTGTACAGGGGTCAGGTGGTAGATCTGTACAGTGGTTAGTGTTATGGCTGTACAGGAGGCAGGTGGTAGATCTGTACAGTGGTTAGTGTTATGGCTGTACAGGAGGCAGGTGGTAGATCTGTACAGTGGTTAGTGTTGTGGCTGTACAGGAGGCAGGTGGTAGATCTGTACAGTGGTTAGTGTTATGGCTGTACAGGAGGCAGGTGGTAATGTTATGACTGTACAGGAGGCAGGTGGTAGATCTGTACAGTGGTTAATGTTATGGCTGTACAGGAGGCAGCTGGTAGATCTGTACAGTGGGTAATGTTATGACTGTACAGGAGGCAGCTGGTAGATCTGTACAGTGGTTAGTGTTATGGCTGTACAGGAGGCAGGTGGTAGATCTGTACAGTGGTTAATGTTATGGCTGTACAGGAGGCAGCTGGTAGATCTGTACAGTGGGTAATGTTATGACTGTACAGGAGGCAGCTGGTAGATCTGTACAGTGGTTAATGTTATGACTGTACAGGAGGCAGGTGGTAGATCTGTACAGTGGTTAGTGTTATGGCTGTACAGGAGGCAGGTGGTAGATCTGTACAGTGGTTAATGTTATGGCTGTACAGGAGTCAGGTGGTAGATCTGTACAGTGGTTAATGTTATGACTGTACAGGAGGCAGGTGGTAGATCTGTACAGTGGTTAATGTTATGGCTGTACAGGAGGCAGGTGGTAGATCTGTACAGTGGTTAGTGTTATGGCTGTACAGGAGGCAGGTGGTAGATCTGTACAGTGGTTAGTGTTATGGCTGTACAGGAGGCAGGTGGTAGATCTGTACAGTGGTTAGTTATGGCTGTACAGGAGGCAGGTGGTAGATCTGTACAGTGGTTAGTGTTATGGGTGTACAGGAGGCAGGTGGTAGATCTCTTCAGTGGTTAATGTTATGGCTGTACAGGAGGCAGGTGGTAGATCTGTACGGTGGTTAAAGTTATGGCTGTACAGGAGGCACGTGGTAGATCTGTTCAGTGGTTAATGTTATGGCTGTACAGGAGGCAGGTGGTAGATCTGTACAGTGGTTAATGTTATGGCTGTACAGGAGGCAGGTGGTAGATCTGTACAGTGGTTAGTGTTATGGCTGTACAGGAGGCAGGTGGTAGATCTGTTCAGTGGTTAGTGTTATGGCTGTACAGGAGGCAGGTGGTAGATCTGTTCAGTGGTTAGTGTTATGGCTGTACAGGAGGCAGGTGGTAGATCTGTACAGTGGTTAGTGTTATGGCTGTACAGGAGGCAGGTGGTAGATCTGTACAGTGGTTAGTGTTATGGCTGTACAGGAGGCAGGTGGTAGATCTGTACAGTGGTTAGTGTTATGGCTGTACAGGAGGCAGGTGGTAGATCTGTACAGTGGTTAATGTTATGACTGTACAGGAGGCACGTGGTAGATCTGTTCAGTGGTTAATGTTATGGCTGTACAGGAGGCAGGTGGTAGATCTGTACAGTGGTTAATGTTATGGCTGTACAGGAGGCAAGTGGTAGATCTGTACAGTGGTTAGTGTTATGACTGTACAGGAGGCAGGTGGTAGATCTGTTCAGTGGTTAGTGTTATGGCTGTACAGGAGGCAGGTGGTAGATCTGTACAGTGGTTAGTGTTATGGCTGTACAGGAGGCAGGTGGTAGATCTGTACAGTGGTTAGTGTTATGGCTGTACAGGAGGCAGGTGGTAGATCTGTACAGTGGTTAGTGTTATGGCTGTACAGGAGGCAGGTGGTAGATCTGTACAGTGGTTAGTGTTATGACTGTACAGGAGGCAGGTGGTAGATCTGTACAGTGGTTAATGTTATGACTGTACAGGAGGCAGGTGGTAGATCTGTACAGTGGTTAATGTTATGGCTGTACAGGAGGCAGGTGGTAGATCTGTACATTGGTTAATGTTATGACTGTACAGGAGGCAGGTGGTAGATCTGTACAGTGGTTAGTGTTATGGCTGTACAGGAGGCAGGTGGTAGATCTGTACAGTGGTTAGTGTTATGACTGTACAGGAGGCAGGTGGTAGATCTGTTCAGTGGTTAATGTTATGACTGTACAGGAGGCAGGTGGTAGATCTGTACAGTGGTTAATGTTATGGCTGTACAGGAGGCAGGTGGTAGATCTGTACAGTGGTTAATGTTGTTATGGCTGTACAGGAGGCAGGTGGTAGATCTGTACAGTGGTTAATGTTATGACTGTACAGGAGGCAGGTGGTAGATCTGTACAGTGGTTAATGTTGTGACTGTACAAGAGGCAGGTGGTAGCTCTGTACAGTGGTTAATGTTATGACTGTACAGGAGGCAGGTGGTAGATCTGTACAGTGGTTAATGTTATGACTGTACAGGAGGCAGCTGGTAGGTCTGTACAGTGGTTAATGTTATGGCTGTACAGGAGGCAGGTGGTAGATCTGTACAGTGGTTAGTGTTATGGCTGTACAGGAGGCAGGTGGTAGATCTGTACAGTGGTTAGTGTTATGACTGTACAGGAGGCAGGTGGTAGATCTCTTCAGTGGTTAATGTTATGGCTGTACAGGAGGCAGGTGGTAGATCTGTACAGTGGTTAAAGTTATGGCTGTACAGGAGGCACGTGGTAGATCTGTTCAGTGGTTAATGTTATGGCTGTACAGGAGGCAGGTGGTAGATCTGTACAGTGGTTAATGGTTATGTTATGGCTGTACAGGAGGCAGGTGGTAGATCTGTACAGTGGTTAATGTTATGGCTGTACAGGAGGCAGGTGGTAGATCTGTTCAGTGGTTAGTGTTATGGCTGTACAGGAGGCAGGTGGTAGATCTGTACAGTGGTTAGTGTTATGGCTGTACAGGAGGCAGGTGGTAGATCTGTACAGTGGTTAGTGTTATGGCTGTACAGGAGGCAGGTGGTAGATCTGTACAGTGGTTAGTGTTATGGCTGTACAGGAGGCAGGTGGTAGATCTGTTCAGTGGTTAGTGTTATGGCTGTACAGGAGGCAGGTGGTAGATCTGTACAGTGGTTAGTGTTATGGCTGTACAGGAGGCAGGTGGTAGATCTGTTCAGTGGTTAGTGTTATGGCTGTACAGGAGGCAGGTGGTAGATCTGTACAGTGGATAGTGTTATGGCTGTACAGGAGGCAGGTGGTAGATCTGTTCAGTGGTTAGTGTTATGGCTGTACAGGAGGCAGGTGGTAGATCTGTACAGTGGTTAGTGTTATGGCTGTACAGGAGGCAGGTGGTAGATCTGTACAGTGGTTAGTGTTATGGCTGTACAGGAGGCAGGTGGTAGATCTGTACAGTGGTTAGTGTTATGACTGTACAGGAGGCAGGTGGTAGATCTGTTCAGTGGTTAATGTTATGACTGTACAGGAGGCAGGTGGTAGATCTGTACAGTGGTTAGTGTTATGGCTGTACAGGAGGCAGGTGGTAGATCTGTACAGTGGTTACTGTTATGGCTGTACAGGAGGCAGGTGGTAGATCTGTACAGTGGTTAATGTTATGACTGTACAGGAGGCAGGTGGTAGATCTGTACAGTGGTTAATGTTGTGACTGTACAGGAGGCAGGTGGTAGCTCTGTACAGTGGTTAATGTTATGGCTGTACAGGAGGCAGGTGGTAGATCTGTACAGTGGTTAATGTTATGACTGTACAGGAGGCAGCTGGTAGGTCTGTACAGTGGTTAATGTTATGGCTGTACAGGAGGCAGGTGGTAGATCTGTACAGTGGTTAGTGTTCTGGCTGTACAGGAGGCAGGTGGTAGATCTGTACATTGGTTAGTGTTCTGGCTGTACAGGAGGCAGGTGGTAGATCTGTACAGTGGTTAGTGTTGTGGCTGTACAGGAGGCAGGTGGTAGATCTGTACAGTGGTTAGTGTTAGTGGCTGTACAGGAGGCAGGTGGTAGATCTGTACAGTGGTTAGTGTTATGGCTGTTCAGGGGTCAGGTGGTAGATCTGTACAGTGGTTAATGTTATAGTCATATGACTGTACAGGAGGCAGGTGGTAGATCTGTACAGTGGTTAGTGTTATGGCTGTACAGGAGGCAGGTGGTAGATCTGTACAGTGGTTAGTGTTATGGCTGTACAGGAGGCAGGTGGTAGATCTGTACAGTGGTTAGTGTTATGACTGTACAGGAGGCAGGTGGTAGATAGATCTGTACAGTGGTTAATGTTATGACTGTACAGGAGGCAGGTGGTAGATCTGTACAGTGGTTAGTGTTATGACTGTACAGGAGGCAGGTGGTAGATCTGTTCAGTGGTTAATGTTATGACTGTACAGGAGGCAGGTGGTAGATCTGTACAGTGGTTAGTGTTGTGACTGTACAGGAGGCAGGTGGTAGATCTGTACAGTGGTTAATG